ATTAGTATATTTAATAATCATAAATGTTGCTTTTGTTGTTGTGTATTCCTTTTTTGTTGAGCATGTTGCAATGAGAGAGAAAAAAGAGAGACAAATAAGAGAAAGAGGCGAGAGAGAGAGAAAGGAGAGCAGAGAGAGAACCAGACACACACACAGAGAACCAGAACACACCCAGAACAAACACATGCACACACACATCTAGAACCAGACATGTGTGCACACAGGACCAAGCAGAGGCAGACAAACACACAGAACCAGATGCACGGGCACACAGACCTGGGCTCCTGGGCTAAGTCCACTCTGAGGCACGCATGCACCTGCCAGTACGGAGCTAATGCCAGAGCCTGGAGCAGATGTTTGCAGCCTCCTGGCTGCAGCCAGCTCAGGCTCTGGGTAGCTGCTGCCAACCACGACAGGGCTTGCAACCACCCAGCTGCCTGCTGGGAGCAGCCCGGGCTTCGTGGCTGGCAGCAGCTGCCTAGAGCCCAGGCCAGCAGTAGCATGCCGAGCAAAATGGCCTTGCATGCTGTGCTCAGCACACGTGCCAGGGGTCCCCTGGTCTAGAGGAAGGAATGGAAATATTCAGATAATTTTTTCTTAAAAAAACAAAACAAAAAGAAAAAACTCTCCATCATTTTAAAAAGTATTCAAAAATACAAGAACTGAACTATGTACTGATGATTTCTTCAAGTGCATTTCTGGAAGTCTGCTTTAAAAAGTAATTCTGTAGAGACATTCAGCTAATCTGCAGAAACTGGGAGGCACTTTGGCAGAAAGGAAAAGTCTCTCCCCTTTTCCTAGTAGCTCATGGCATAAAGCCTCAAGCCAAGATAATGAATCTGTATCACAATAAGAATTTTTTTTTTAAACGATTCTATCAATACCATCATTTAATGTTCTTCATTCTACCTTGGTCAACGCTAACTTTTCTCCATTTTCCACAAGTGCAGATTGTAAGGGAACTGGTATAAAAAAATTTGTGCACACAGAGTAGAGAGACAAAGAACATTGTCTGTTGGGTTGTCACTTCACATATAAATCTCACCAGTGCTGCAAAATTTAAACTGACAGTCTGTGCTCTGGCAGAGCAGAGTTGGTGCTATGAAATGCACTCCAGATGCTCAGTGGCATTTCCCAGTACCAAGCTATTCCTAATTCACAGCCTGCTAACGAAAACAAACATCTAAATGGAGGGTTTCACAAGGGATTTAAGAAAGGCACTGGATCAGACCAAGAGATGAATGAAACTAAGTGTTCAGGGCTTCAGGACAGTTGTAATAGAGTATGTTGGTATCTGCTCATAGGATTATATACAAAGCATTACAGAAATGTGAGGGGGTTAGTTTTCCAGTGGCTGGGCAAGGCACGATTTGAAATGGCAGTGCCAAAAGCTTACTTTCTTCCTTAGGCAATGTCATTTTCACTGGATGAAATTTTTGGACATGCCACCTAAAACCGAGAAACAGTATGAGATGCACTGGGAAACTACTTGTTCTACCAAGGTGGGGGTGGGGTGGGAAGGTTGTAAAGCGAGCGATCAACTATTAGTGTCTTGGTGTCAGGAGAGCTGTAGCTTCAGCAGAAGCTCTCCGAGTCCCTGAAGTAATTGGGAATGAGGCCAAAAAACAAAAACCCTTGAAGACTCATACAAATAATTACACCCTTTCTAGTGTTTGGGATGACAATATCAATCGTAAAACCTTCAGGAAAGATTCATTTTATTTAAAGCTACAGTCCCTGGTTTTGTGTTTCACCATCTCTGAACCTTGGGAGAGATTACTTTAAAAAAAATATTCCACTGACAGAAGATGATCAAATTTCCTTCCAAAATTCTCCTTATCTGACAGAGAATCCCAAGACAGATGCTGGTAATCTGCAAGGGTCCAATGCAGGGGATGCATGTTGTACTCAAGCCTGACAGCCAAATATTGTTGCCTTTCATTCATTTCCTGAATTTGATTTCTTTTTAAATAAATAAATACTGTAAGATTTCAAACAAACTTAATGAGGTGAGATTTCTGAGTGGAAGGGGCTGGGCACTGGACACTGTGACTGCAAGTCATAAACAACACAAGCACAATTATGCTAATGCAATTACTGGTCTCCTGATCAGGAGGATTTTGAATGCACCATGCTACAGGAGATCAGAGGGGCCTGTAGTCTAATAAATTTTGGCAAACTCTAAACTAATCATAGGTGTCACAGGATGGCAAAATGGTAAAATACATGAACTCTGTACGTGACAAAGGACATTTCACATACCCGACAACTCATCTAACATCTCTCCCAGTTGTACAGTCAGTCCAATAAAAGGCATCACCAAAAAACTCGTTGCGTCTCAGATATTCCTTGGACCATCAAGGTTACAACTACACTCCAGCCCTAGTACAAACTACACGAGGGTGTTCTAGAATGGACATCCAGATGAAGGGAAGTGTCCTTAGAAAGGAACCCAACTATGGCAGCAAAAATGAATACAGATGTTAGAGACAAAAGAGTGTTTCAAGACCAGAAAGCCAAAAACTACACGCGCACACACAAAAAAAAGAATCTCTCTCAAGACCATCAGTAAGTGAAAGACCATGAGAGAAGAGCCAATGCTACAATTAAAGGAAGTCAAGGCCAGCTGAGCCTCACGGCTGTACCAGCCAGGCTGGCTGAAAGAGCTGTAGTGCTCCTCCATGGGCATGATCAAACAGAAACAAACCAGCTTGGCTTTTCTAATCAAGTGGAACCACATGGTATCAACATACAATATTATCAAAACCACCATAAGAGTTATTGCATTGCTACGTCTACCCATTTACCTGAACCTGCAGCAGTTCCCCACGTGCTGAACTCCAGTGCATGCAGAGGCAAGAGGCCTGACAGCCCCCTCGGGGTGTAACCAAGATAGTTCCTCTGCATCTAGCCATCTCTATACCTCCATCTTTATCCCTGGACACTCTTCCAGCCACATGTCCCACTCAAGTTAGCCACGTTTCTTCTGGAGTTAAAAAGAGGCTTTTTGGTGACATAAGTTTAATGGCTGGCTTTGTTATTTTTTACCCCTTGCTATTTTAGGTAGGTGCGATTTAAAGGCAGCAGTTTACACATTTCCCACGCATTTAAAGGATAAATATCACAAACTTGAGAAAGGGACACGACAAGCTGGAGGGGACTCTCAGGGCTCCAGCAGGCCAGAGCCAGCCTGGGCAAAAGAGAGGAACCACCCTTGAAAGAGCATGTGCCACAGAAGGTAGGGAAATGGTGTGTTTATGATTATTTGTGTTCTACTTGCTAGGCCACACTGGGTCTGTCTGGTGTATTAAGAGCATAAGCAATTTGGGGCACAGACTAGTGGCAGTAGCTTCCTCCCTCAGATCCTGGCTGAAAAACAACCCATGCCTGAGTGTCTAGAGGCTACTAAAGCAGGCGGCACTGAGCTTTATTTATTCAACTAATCATCCACTAAGAAAATTGGGGCCAAAAAGTCATGAGACACTGCGATAAAATGTCAATGTCAAGTAACTTTAATTATCAAGAGGCCATTTCTAATATTCTAAATTTTGAGAGTTACAGAAAAAAAAAAAACCCTCTCTCTGTCTTCACCACAGCAGTTGTCAAGTCAATCCCTTATAAAAGTCATAGCAGGATAAAAGAAAGTGCTTAGATTGGAAGTCAGGAGCTTGCTTTAGCTTGGAGGTCACCATCACAAGCACTATATGCAGGAACTGTTCACTTTTCATTTTCAAAAATAATATATAAAAAGGTTTGGGCTTGGAATTGCTCCACACACAGTGCTAGGGATGTCTTCCTTTCTGTTGCTATTAAAGGATTAATACAATACAACTGTGGAGACTCCACTGTGCTCCCATGCACGCCTCAGAGATTATTTCTCAAAAAAGTTTGCCTCCTAGCAGAAAGCTTTTTCCTACCTGCTCCTCCCTCCCCCTACAGAAGCTGATGGAAGTTGACTAATGCAGTTAGCTATCTTCTGATCAGAACTGATTTGGTAGAAAGTGGAAGAAAACTTGAGCAAAACACTGTAAAAATGTACTCAGACACCAAATTACTTTGCTTTTAGAAGCTGAAATGCATTAATGGGTGTGTGTGCATGTGCGTGTGCGTAAGGGGTGGAGGGTGTTATTTTCCAAAGCAAAGTAAATGAACAACATACCTTGATGCATTTAGGGGAAAAGCCCACAACCCCAGCTTCCTTTGTAGCATTCACCAGCATAACTCTGCTCTTGGAGATGCATTATTCAAAGGGAACATCTTGGCAAGCCATCCATTATTTATTTTTACTTGCAATTTACAGTATCAAGCCAAGGACAAAGTAGGAGTTTGCATACAGACAGTTTATTTCTGGGCTGCACCATACACTGACTTCCTTCAGAGGCTCTTTGCCAACTGAAATCAGTGATGAAACAAACCCATCGTCAGTAAGTTACTGTTTTTATGAGGCTGACGGCATCGCCCTCCAGTACAAAAAATGCTCAAGCTCAGGGAGTTTGGAAAGGGCTAAAAAATTCCGTCTTCTGGGCTGGTGGTCCTTGGCCCTGGCAGTCTCTCTCTGAGGTCTGCATCAGGGAATCTGCGCAAGATGCTGAAATCTAAATGCAGGGGAACTGCTCCTGATGACCAGGCCCATGCCCTGATACAGCAGATGAAGCAAGAAACATTTCTACCTAGCAGTCAGCCTCCTTTCTTACAGACTCTCAGGAAATGAAGCTGGGCTCCACTTATGGGAGAGGAAGTTCCTTATCCCTTTATCAGTCAAATCTAGACCACGGCAACCAGTTCAGTCTGTTTGTACTCTGGGAGGAGCCCTCCTGTGATGCTTACCTGAGCCAGAGATGCGCTGGTTCCTTTTTTCAACTCTGAGAAGCTCTCACATAGCTTCCCCCCTTTGCTACTGGAGTTACATTTGTAGCATGTCCATCTCATCAGCCCTTGGGTTTGCAGGCCACACTCTTTGCTCAGCAGGCAGAGGGAGTGGTAGAGATGGCCACAGCTGTGAAAACAAGGGAGGAAACCATTGCATATTTCCCAAGCAGGGTAATACTGCATGGGTATTTACCTGAGTGAGTAAAGCAATGATTGAAAAGGAGATTTCCAATTGAGGGAAAAACCTACCCCCAAGGCCTGCTTACCTATAATGTCAATACACAGAACAATACTGCTTCCACGCATCACACCCCTGGGCAAAGTCACACACACACAGCCCAGCCAGAATCACATTTGCTGACAGAAGTACAGCAGGACACAGGGGTAGGACCTATAGCACTGAAGACACAAGGACCCTGCCCTGACTTTTCACCGACACCTATTCAGAAGCAAGTGTTTCATGGACAAGAGACTGGAAGTGTGGGATCACGGTCACAAGGTCTTTGGAGAACCTTGGTTACAGGTAAAATACCTTCAGATACTGAACGATGGTCCCTGATGGAGATCAATGGCCCCATGTGAGAGATCAACTGTGACACAAGGCAGACCTTATCATGCTTGCATGGCTCTGTTCTTTCCCTCCTGAGAGATCCTACAGCAATGGTCCCTAACCTTTTTTGTTTTCTGGGCAAAGACCACACTCCTCATCTACTGGGGAAACACATATCTGTGGCAAGCAATAATTTTCTGTGGCAACAAGCAACACTGAAGGGTCTTGCAGGTGAGCTCTGGGTTGGGGACCACTGCTCTAGGGGATTGCATTGGACTCTTGCACCTCCCTGTCCTAAAGTCTCTTGCTATTTCTTGGCTGTTGTTCCCTCCATCCATGGATGGGACCATACACTGAGCATTCATCTTTGTAGGGTCCTTTAGTGTGACAACACCCAGCAGTATGTCTTCATCTCTTCCAACCCTGCTACTGCAGTTCAGACTACTTCACCAGACTCTCATGGAAACCAAGACAGATGAAGGGCTAGCTGGCTGAGACTTAGCCCTGAGAAAAATTGGATACATTTACTCACCTAATCATTACTATGCAAATAGTCCTCATGGTGAGTTTTGCTGCCCTCATCCGTACGGGGGCAGAATCAATAGGACCTGCCAAACTGTCCATCTAGACCAATATCCTGCCTGCCAGTGGTAGAGAACCCAGTGCTTCAGAGAAAGCAGCCAAAAAATATTCCATAATGAGAAATTATGAGCTGAACTCTTCACAATTCTGGATGTTTTGGATGTTCTCATTATGCACAAGGCCCATGCTGCCACTGAAGGCAGTGGGAGTAGGCAGGCAACTGCTGAACACTAGGGAAAATCCTACTATCAAAACTCTTTCTGTTACCTGCTTCTTCCCATCATCCTATTCGGAATGTCCTAGACAATTCCTGGCTTTGTGCATCCAGGATAACACTTACAAGTCCCTTCTGCAGAGAAGCACCAAGGCTTCTGGTAGGTAGCAAACAACTCTGGACTCAATACTGGTGTTCCACACCACTTGTTGGTTCAAAGACAAGACTCCCATTTGTTATATTTTATCAAATCCAATCCTGGAGTCCTCCCCCATTATTTTTTTTAGGAGGCATTACCCCTTAAAAGGCAACAGGCTGCCATCTCCTCTGTGCATGACCTGAACTACATCCTCAAGTAACAGGGATGAGTTTGTGCCTCTGGTCAACATATTACACAGTTGTACTCTCACTGCCACAAGCAGTCTTAAAAAGGCTAACCAGCCTGCTGGCTGAACCACTCTGATAACTAGGTGTTTTCCCCAGCTGAATAGCCTTGCATCTGCCAGGGGTATGTAGTCTAATTAAGTTAAAGATTGTCCTTTGCCCACTTCAGGCATTACTAGGAACAATGAGGCCCCTTCCCCTGGGATCAGCACTCTCTGCGGGTGGGACTGGATGCTAGGGACTGGGGCAGGGATACACATCTGGAAAAGGCTTAACATGGAGGCAGTTTAACCAAGTATGCCAAAGCTCTATGCCCAGGGGACTGAGGGGATCAAACTCTTTGGGACTCCAGAGACAGATCAGTGTACCAGTACCCTGATGTGGCCATGCCTCAGCGTCCCTTCTTCAAAGCTAAACCCAGCTGAAACAGTTACAGTGCAGCTCCTTTTCCTACAGCACTCCCCAGTCCTGCAAGGCTGTTCTTCCCAGTCCACTACTGAGAGCCTCCCATGTGAGTCACCTCCTGCTCCAGCTTGCTGTCCTGGGCTCACTGACCTTTTAAACTGACCTTTTCCACTGATGTCACAGGTTTGTGGAATTTTGCATGCACCCACAGGAACGGGTGACAACATGGGACCCTAACAAACTCCATATATGCCAACAAAGCATGGCTGGAATGGGTTAGTCAGGGGTGATCCAGCCTTGAGCAGGGGGCTGGAGCAGATGACCGCCTGAGGTCCCTTCCAGCTCTTCCCTACAATCCTATGAACTCCAACAACAAAGACATGATTGTTTCTCTCCTTTATTTATGCCTTTCACAGGCAGATTCCAGCTTCAGAGAAGGGCAGAAACACTTTGCCAAAATACATGCTGGCATAGGACTCTGTCTACAGCCCCTCTATTGGCATAAAACATTTCCTAGAGCACTCTGCAATTCCCCTAAAGGCTGCAGGCACTGGGACACAGTGAAGGAGGCAGGCCTTCAATTCCGCCACAAAAGCAAAATAAATGACTTTCCTCACAGTGGGGGGCAGCTTTGTGTCTTCTGTAGCAAGCTTCAGCACTTCCCAGTCTCTGTTCCACTTTTCTTTGTCTGCCTGATCTCCTGAATGTACACGACTGTGGCTGGCGGAGGCATACCCACGCTAGCTCAGGTATGATAACAGCCTAGTCCTGGCAATGCAGAGCTCTCTGCAGGCTGCAAAGTGCTACTGGAGAAAATGGACAAGCTCTTGGTACGATTTGGAGCACAGGGCTCCACTGTTATCACTTTGGAGTGAACTAATGCAAAGCTGGAGTGAGCTACTGCAAAGCTAGTTGCACCTTTCGCTGCAGAGAGGATGTACCCATAGATTGCGAGCACTTTGTTGGCACAGTGCCTACCATGATGAGATCTGATCTTGGCCAAGGTCTATATGGTCTGGAGGCTGGATAAGAGTTTAGGGGAGTTCCTGTTTCAAATCAAGTAAGTTTCTCCCATCTTTTATTTCCCATTGGCCCTTTTTCTCAGCCTTATTTTGAAGACACACACACGTCTCTATGCTTACCTGAAGACAATGATTTCATCAGCGGTCTCTTGCCTTCTCTTGTATTGCTGCAGACAGATGCAACAATAATCCTGTTTTGGGGTCAGCCCTCTGGTGACAGAGGCTCTCAGGTTGCAAAGGGACCAGTGGAGATCATGGTTTAGGAGGTTAGTGGTAGTCTCTAGAAGGGTCTGCGCAGGAAGACAAATGCACACAATAGTGAAGTCGTGTGTCCTCTCACCATGCTGCAGACATTTGTCACATGACAGTTCATCATTTTGAGCACCTTACAAAATAAAGAGCAAAGGTGCAGCTTTTCCGTATGCATACCCTAAGTGCCACCCTGCTAATACACAGCATCCCTTTTCCCCTCCTCAGGATAGGTTAACAGAAAAAACAGCTCTTCCCCTTTAGAGAAGTAATTACAGTGCTCATTTTAATACTCTTGAACAGAATCGTTGAAAAACAGCTGCAATACTCCAGGCTTCCCTTCTTGTCCTCAGCCTTTCTAATAAACTGTCTGCACAAGGCTATTCCTCACATCCACCATTTTATTGAAATTACATGGAAGATATAGATGAAGTAGGAGCTGTAAGCTCAAATACACTCCACTCTTCAAGTATGAAAATACTAAGAACTGCCATCTCCCGGGATACAGACAATTCTGCCTGGCTGAGTTGTATGCCATTACAAAGTTAAGAACCAGGGGCATTTTACTGTGAGGAATATGTTTCCCAGGCTGCTGTATACTCGGTTCTGTTTATGATCTCATAGCACACATGAAGAGGCCTATTAAATAGGAATGAACATTGTTCAAGCCCCGCACACCACCTACAAACATTCTGCTTGGGGTTTTATTTTTTTTTTTAGAGCTCCCACAGCACCATCAGGCGGAGAAATCACCAGCACTCTTCCCAGACACAAGTTCAAAGCACTCATTACAGACCTGGGAGCTCTGTCATGCCCACTACCTGCAAAGGACTTTGAAAACTGAGCACCACTTATGCAATTCTAAGGTTGCTGGAACATCACCTTGTTATGTGGTTGCACAAACTATTATACCTCTCTTGAGGTGGGAGATAGTTAAAGACTGGTTAGATCGCTGTATAAGGAGCATCGCACAAGCATCAATGCCACAAGGTCCAGGAGACTGGCATTGCAGGTCTGGCTTACTAAATATCGAGACAGAGGAAAAATCAAAATGCAGTGCGTGAGCAAACACAGTGCACTGAAGCGTCCTAAAAGAGAAAGACTCAGCTCAATCCAAGGCCTTGAAACTACAGGGATGACAACTATTTCCATCGCTAACATATGGATAACAGTTGGCATGCCATGGTGGCAACCTACAAGGAAAAGCTAAAAATAGAAATTATTTTTAACATTTAGTCAGTAGTTTATTATTGATATTAATTTTAAAGTTAGCCCTACTCCAAAAGGAGCTGAAGAATCAGAGTAAATTGGGAGCTGGTGCACAAATTCGAAACTTGGCACTACATGCATCTCTGAATCTGGAAGCTCCTCTTCTTTTTTCTAGTGGTTCTGCTCTGGAGACAGCCTTTTCCCCACAAGCCACCTTTGTCCCTTGGAGGGAGATGGGTGGTCTGCTCAGGGCTTTCCATCTGAGAGATGGCCTCCGCTACAGCTGTGGAGAAAGTCTAGCACAAGTGAGGCAAGACTCCCTCCAGACAATCTGAATGGCAGGCTTGAGCTCCGTTAGCCCTAGTCTTGCTCCCATGACATTGCAGAGAGGTTTCCTGTCTGGTGGAGATGCAAAGTGGCAGTCAGATGCTACAGTGGAGTCCTCTTCCAGTGATGACAAAAAGGTAAAATCCTGAATGGTAACAGTCTTTCTGCCTAGCGGTGAGTTAGGAGGAGGAGCCCAAGGTCCTTTTTGTCACAGAATGAACCACAGGAAGAGACATCTGAGCCCTGGGATTCATGACATAATGGAGAAGATTGAAGACTTCAAGGCAGAACGGAGCCAAGAGACCAAGAGAGGCCCACTCCGTGGCCTGCCACAACTCGCACAAAGCCCCGTGGGGAGGGAATTCTTACAGGGAGAGATGAGACCGTCCAACAGAGGGACTCAGGCTGAGGGAGGTAGAGGAGTTCTCCGGGGAACACGTGCAAATCAATGCTCTGATTGGCATAAGAGCAATGTCATAAGTGAGGCCCCTCCTCCATTTGCCTCGGAGGGTGATATCAAAATAATTTATTGTGGGCTTGAATCCAAACACTGGATAAAAAAAAAAAAATTCTTAAAAGGTGAGAGTACCCAAACTAGGAACCCGTGCACAAGAACCAGTGGAGGGTCACTGGTGCCCTTTACTCTCAACAGCAAGACAGTGCAGCAGCAACAAACATCTTGCTTCTGAAAGGAAAGCGTCTCATGCAAGTGCATGTCAGTTCAGCGCAATGGTCCTCATCTCCTCTCCTCGGGATTATTTAAGAGCATAAGGTCCCACCAGGTTAACTGGCAGAAGTGTAGGGCACTTCACAAAACTGCACAGACTGTGTTGCTGGACTCTTAAAAGGACAGAACCAAAAGGGGACAGCGTGTTTTCAATGCTGCCAAATCACGGCAGATCAGAAGCCACCTGCCACCAAGAGCTGATGCAGTTTCCAACTGACCCTGACAAACAAGGAGACAATTATTCTTCACGCTCATTGCTTTTAAATTGGAAAGAGTCCAGCAGATGACAACAAAAATGGTTAAAGGGCTTGGGACATGATTTACGAGGAGAGGCTGAGGGAACTGGGCTTATTTAGCCTGATAAAGAGAAGACTGAGATGGGATTTAATAGCAGCCTTCAGCTCCCTGACAGGTTGTTCCAAAGAGGATGCAGCTGGACTCTTCTCAGTGGTGGCCGATGACAGAACAAGAAGCAATGGTCTCAAGTTGTAGCAAGGGAAGTTTAGGCTGGATATTAGAAAAAACTCTCATTAGGAGGCTAGTAGAGCCCTGGAACAGGTTACCCAGAGAGGTTGTAGACTCTCCCCTTCCTTGGAGGTTTTTAAAATCCAAGTAGACAAAGCCTTGGCTGGGATGATCTAGTTGGGGCTGGTCCTGCTTTGAGCAGCAGGTTGGACTAGATGTGACCTCCTGAGGTCCCTTCCAACCCTCATTCTATGGTTCTTTCACTCTAAGTGATCCTTCTTGGACAAGCCTACATGTGGGCTGTCAGTCTTCTCAGTTATCATTGCCAGACACCTGGATCAGGCAGTTAACCCGACAGATCATCAGCAACTGGTAAAAGTAACCGACTGTTATTTACTCCCTGCCTCCAGCCTCAAGCGACTCAGGAGTCTAAAGGGAAATGGGGACCTAATTCCTTGAGAAGAAAGTGCCCTTCAAGCCCCATCTCCCTGGGAGAGGAGGACAGGATGAACACAAAGGTGTCCCTCATGTCCAGGGTTTTTCTTTAGAGCCAGGAAGGGGTGAATCCAGACAGTGTTTATTGGCATCCCCCTTCACTCCTCTCTTCCCCCTTCCCCCCCCACTTTCAGACATACTCCATACAGGAACAGTAGCAGACGCAGGCAGGTTCCTCCTCTCCGATGGGTGCCCCGGGTGCTTCCTGCCAGCCAGGGAGTGAGTGGGGAACAGGGGACCCACCCACTGTTGCTGTCCCCTGCTGAGCTCAACTGCAGCCCCTCACAACCTTCCCAATTCCTTTCATAGGGGGAAGGGGCTCCAGAGATGCTGCAGCTGGGCTCAGCAAGGGACAGCAGCGGCAGTGGCAGGTGGGTTCCCCTTCCCCACGCTTGCTCCCCTGGTTGGCAAGGAACATCCCGTGGACCAGGCAGCGGAGGAACCCAGACTCTGTCACCATTGTTCCCAATTGGAGCAGGGCAGGAGCAGCTCCACCCTCCTTATCCTACAGAGCCAGGTGAACACAGCAGGAAAGGAACTGGGTTCTTCTAGAGGTGATCCCAGTGCAGTCAGGAAAGGCCTGTGCACTGTAATCAGCTTCTCCCTGAGGAACACTAGTTTCTCCAAGGAGGAGGGTGGAGCACTGTAGGGGCCTGGGCTGCCATCTGTTAACAGGCCTGGAGGATGAAGTGTGGGTCTAAGCAATCAGCTGTTCAAGAATGCAGAGGGTTAGAGTGGCCACACATCCTTCCTCGCCCAGATTTACTGTGGGCACTGTTCCACTCTCCACAGGAAGCTGACTGGTTACTCACCTCAGGGAACAACAGCCATGCGCAACCATATCAGATTGGGTCCATCCATTCAGTGCCCTTCCTCGTTGGCAGTGACTTCCAGTGTGGTGAAGCAGCTGCCCACCTTTTGGGGGAAGTGAACCTCATCTGCATCCAGGATGCACAATCCCAGTAGCTAACCCTGGAGTTCACATCCAGGTATGCACTGCCAGCGGGGCACAAGGGAACTGCCAATGAACTTAAATTCTTGAGTTCAAAGCAGTTCTGCTGCAAAGAGCATTTTGGTCTGGCACCTGGAACCTGCAATTTTGGCAGTATGGCAATACGGGAAGGGCACAAAAGACTCCAAACTTTACACTTATTATCAATTCTTGTCATCTTCTTGGATGTGGGTGAAGATAAGCTGACCTGCCACATATGGGAATGTACAATACTCTTATAGCAACATGAGCAATTGCTTATGTGGCAGTAAACACTAAAAAACCCCCACCCATAAACAAAGAGTTGTTTCCATTATTTTTTTCAGCATCAACATTGTGGACTGAATGCAAGGTTGGATAGTGGTGACAGAGAAAGGGGGAGAAAGGAAAGTCAGGGCCTCAGTCTTATGTCTGCTAAGGTCCAGATAACAGCTGGAAATCCACAAAGTGATATCTGGAAGATGGGCTGAGGAAGACAGGTATGGAGTAGAGAGATAACATGCATCGTTTGACAAAGAAGAATCAGACTCCCAGGGACACAATTCAGTCAGAGTCCAGTTTCACACACTGCCTGCTAAAAATCTATGAAAAGAAATCAGACAAAAGTTAGCCTGCATGTCCCTTGAATATAATACAAGGAAACAGCTGAATGGCTCCATGACAATACCAAACACCTGCCCCAAATGACATATCCATGGTTCAGGCCCTGGGAATCTTGCTGATCTACTGAAGGATCATGTGGTGTTAAAGTAGTCAGGCATCCCCAATTTCCCCAGAGCACGGGTCCCTGGGATGAAGCAGACAGCTGTACTGTATAATCAGTATT